TCACAAACACATGTTTCTTCCTTCTCAACTGCCACTCAATCACATTACAACATAGCAACCAAATAGAAGCTCTGTTCTGTTTGGGAGAAGGGTTGTTGATCACTATACAGTGGGGCTGCAATCTCTCCAGTTGCTGCCAAATACCATCTTGACCCTTCATAGTGGAAAAGTTGTATCCTGCCTTGAAATCCATAGGAGATGCAACTTTAACACCATTCTTTGAAAGGAACCAAGATAATCCACTGTTTCCATGAAGTAACTCAACAACATCAGGATGATCATCATTACAGAAGAAAAAGGACTGTTCTCCGAATTCGGCATCAACATACAGTTCGTGATCTTCACGCAAGTTCTCCGGATTCTCATCGTCTAATGCCGGAATGGAAACATCATGCCACTCATCGTGATCACGTCTAACCTTTGACTGATTCACACGTATCACTGCCTTACCAGTATTGGCTTGGACCATAGCTCCTTCTTGTCCAAGTACTGTGGCACGAACCCAACGTCCTTTATCCTTGAACTTTGATGAATCCTGAGTCCAAACAAAAACCTTCTCTCCTTGGAAATAAGGACCGTCGCTTGGCATAGTCCTTCTTGCAAGATCTGCTCGAAGGTCCTGAGCTTGTCGTGCTTCTTGATGAGCTCTCAAAGCCACACGTTGTAGTTCCAAATTTGTACGATCTTGTGCGGCGGCATTAGCTGACAATTGCTCAGGGCTTGCGGTCTCAAGGTCAAAAAGATCTGGTGGACGTCTTCCAGTTGCTATCTCTATTGGTGAATATCCACTGATAGTCAACTGACAATTTCTTGCCCAAACTACCTTCTTGACCACTTCTCTGACCGTAACACCACGAAAACGTGGGTCATCCAGATCTACCTTCATAACATGCCACATACGTTTGAACAAACGTACAGCTGTCTCTGCTCTGTTCGGCCAAGGAGTTCTTGGCCCACAAGGACATTGTTGTATACCATGGAACCTGTAGTATTCAACAAAAGCATCGGTGAAAAAGGCTTCGTCTCCTACGATGGCCTTCGGAACACAGTTGTTCTCATCAGACCACTGCCTCAATGCTTGGATGGTGGTTTGATCTATGAGGTCTTTCTGTGCCGTAGCCCAGAGAAGATTTGTGGCACCATCAAGAACAAGTAGAATGATATACTTGTTCTTGTGAAGTTCAACCTCACAATGATCAGCAAAAACAACATCACCAAAACATGAAGCTCTAATACCGGAGACTCTGGCTCGTGGCGGAGGTGCCACTGAAGTGTTACAAACACGGCAGTTCCTGACAACTGATTCATACTTCTCTAAAACAGAGTCAGGAAGCTTCAACATAGAAACACGTCTACGAAACTGAGTAGGACTCATATGGTAGTGCTTCACATGAAGCTTATAAAGCTCTACCTTGTCCTCCAGTCTCTGTAACATCTTCCTATATGCCGGTGTCATTGCAACAACTTCACTACCAGGTAATGGGATTGAAATCCGCCTAGGCTCAAGAGCGCCATCACCTGGTTCAAGTGGTTCATGTTTATCACTTGATGGTCCTTTTGATGCTTTAGGAATTTCTACAAGTTCACCTTCTGGCCTCTCAGGTGGTTCTGAGGGAACATACTCCTCAAGATCATCACCCTTTAAATCATTCTGAGGCTCAGATGGTTTCGACTTGTGTCCTTTCCAAAATGGATCAAAACCCTTGGAAGTATACCGGAATTTTGGCGGCACGGGCTTTTCCGCGGCACTGGCTGGTGCACCTTCCTTCTCTGACGAGAAGCCTGGTTCCCTGTCCTTTGCAATGGGAACCTTCTCTGAGGAGGAGCGCACCACTGCATCGGGATCACCAATGCCACGGTGCTCAATGCCAGCCTTCCTGATCTTTAGATCTGGAATTTTGGCATCTGGCTTGAACTTAAAAATTGTTCTACCACGCCATTCATAGCCAATTTGTAGGTCCTTCCATTTTGCCTTGCGCCAATCATCTTGCTTCTTGATCTCTTCTCCACCTTTCTTCTTCTTGATGATTGTCAGTCGCAAGTCTTCCAGTAAGTCAGTGTCTACAGGACAGGACTTAGTTGCTGGGAAAAGAATCTTTCTATAATCCTTGTGGTGACGTATCAGTTCTCTCTTGTGAACATCTACTTCCCAGTAGTCAACCACAGGATATGCATGTTCAGCTACATCTTCATCACTATTGAGGTCAACAGAAATATGAACATATTCATAGTGAGTGAAGTGAGAGTAAAAACTCTTCTCGCGCCGAGTCTGCAAATTCACGTCAGACAGATACCATGCAATATCTTGGAAGTCCAAAACAAGATGAGTACTGGCTGCAACCTTCAACTCCAAATATTTGATGCCAAGAGCAAGAGGCACCGATGTCAGATAAGCATGTTGAGGTGTCAGCCTGAGTTCAAAGCCTAAGTTCCTCATCTGTGGCAAGCTCATAAGCAAAGGGACTTCTCCTTCTTCCACTATGTCGAACTCTGTATGGTGGATCGTCCATGCACGATCATACATGTAAATCACCAGTTTCTGAGAGCAAGTAGCCTTCTGGGAATTGGCAAAGTAAAACTTGCTCTTGGTAGCCTCAAAGGAGTACCATAATCCACAATCTGGGTGATTGTCGACATAGTTGCAAAAATGGTCGACTGCTCGCCTTGATCCCATAGCTCTAGTGCATCCAATGTCCAGGATTGCAATAGTCGGCGGGAAGCGATTCTCAGTCAAAAATGAAATGGCCTGCATCTCCTTCACTTCTTCCTCAGCGCTCATAAGCGCAAAGCCATCAGGAGCCTTTGTGAGCATCTCCTTTGACAAAGAGTACCTCACAGGGGCACTCATGCCATTGAAGATCGTCTCACCATTGTTGACCGCGCAGTCAGCTTCATCTTGACATGAGGTCATCATGCCTGACAGCAAGTCCACCTCACTGTCATGGACTTCAGCTGCTGCTGTCACACAATGTGCAAAGAAACCTTGTTGACCTCCTGATGCTTGTGAAGATCTTGAAGGTGCAGGTAAAGAACGTGGCTGTTGTTGATTTGCATAGTTTGCATCTTGTTTGCCATCTCCTTTATCTTTTCCTTTTCCTTTCTTGCCTTTTCTCTTGCCTTTTCCTTTTCCTTTGTGGGAAAACCACGCTTCTTCAAGCTGTTGCCAAAAGTCATTGGCATCATCATATTCTCCTTGAAGATAGTCATTCATATCTTCGGCAAGAATAGCATCATATGCTCCTTGGTTTGACTCCCAAGTGTCCTCATAAGGATTCTCTTCAAAGTACTCTTCTGGATATGTTGTCTGTTGCTCATCAGCAAAATGGCCTTTACCTCGTCTCTTTCCTTTTCCTTTTCCACGAGGTCTGAAGAATCTGCGGCCTGATCTTCCCTTGCCTTTTCCTTTTCTTCTTCCTTTTCCTTTGCCTTTTCTGGCTCTTCTTCCTTGGAATCTCCTTTGGAACCACGAGAAGTTTTGATCATCATATACCCAAAAGACATCGTCCAGGGCATCTAAAAATCCTTCTGTTCCATCTTCTTCATCTTCGGCCCAATAGCCAAATGTACCATCGAGTTCTCCTTCGTCTAGTACAAGAAATGATCTTCTACCTCCAGCACCTGTCGGCTGCATCAAAGGATTGTCTACTGAAGTCTTTGTCGTGCAGAACATCTCGATGAACACTGTCCTCAACTCTGTTGTAGTATATTGCTGCAGGACCCTGCCACGATGAGTCATCAAAGAAGTCAAAGTGTTTCGCTGGTCCTGAGACAAATCTGCAAGTGACAGCATGAGTAAGGCAATCAGATTTTCTCCTAGAGGAAATTCGTTCTGATGAAAAGTCCTCATATTGCCATTGATGGTCTGCATGATTTCCTGAATCCTTTCTGCCGTTGGTGCTACTCCAGTCAACGCTGCATCTGCCTGCATCTGAGCTAGGACTTGTGGATGTGCTTGAGTGACTGGTTCTAGCATGTCCATCCAACTGCTCATAAGCCTTTGGAGTAAAATCTGGAATCTTGTCATCCATTTCATCATGTCAGCTGATCCTCGATTGAAGCGCACGAATTGCATGAACCTATACAGGAATACATTGGTTGATCCTTTCACGAAATATGGTCGTAGTACTCGTTTGAAATATTCTACGCCGGCTCCTGGTGGATCATTTGCCTTCAGTGCATCTCTGTCTAAAACACGCTTGTATACAGCTGCTTCTCCTTCTAGTCGGTTTCTCAATGCTGGTCCTCTCTTCTCATCCTCCAGCTCGGTGATATCACACCAATCGTCTATGGCATCCTCATAGGAAAACCATGAAGTCTTTCCATCATAAGATGGGGGCACCTTTGTAGTGACCTGTGTTGTCATAGCTATCGCTGCTGGTTCTCTTCTCACATGCCTATTCACATAGGCTGCTGGCTCATAAGCCACATCCGCATCAGGCTCTTCCCAGTCGTCAATCCAATCCATGGCCGTTTGCCCACAAGCAATTCTATGCCTAGGAAAGGAGCTCACCTGGGTCTTCCAGGATCACTGCTCCGCTACCACTGAAAGAGTGACTAGGGCGTACACGGTAGAGGTGCAGACCGCTAGTGTCTTTTATGCGCAGAGTCTTATCCTCTTGCTCTTTGAGCCTTGAAGCAGTCAAGCATGGACACACTATATCAGCTGTTGGAGTGGAACCCTGTACAGGTAGGCTCTACTTTTCAGGGGGGGGGGTCCATAAGATTGATTTAATCAATTATTTGAGGTTTCTGAGGTGCGTCCACCCCGTCACTTAACTTGCTAAAGCAAGAGCAACTCCAGCTAGCTAAGGCTAGCTTTCGTGACTTGCGTGGCTTCCACCTACTTCCGCATTGATCACTTTTCGGGTTCGTTGGCGGTGAAATCTACGGTACATCAAATGCAAAAAAAGAGAGAGAGAGAGAGACTTGGCAGAGGGATCTAGAGGGTCACTGGTGACCTCCAAACCGCACCTCTGGCCTCGCCCCGTCGTTCAAGTGACTCCTGCGTCTGGAAATCCGCCGAGTGCCGCATGTGCAAGAGGTTTCCACGCCACACTGAGTCAGCGTCCCGAAGTTCCCCGCCCAAACGGAGGTATTCATGTGGTTCAGCGGTGGTCCTTGGTAAATCAGCGACCAAGGAAGTACCCGCGTTACGGTGTCACGATGTGTGTTCTCTGGATGCAATGCACAACAGTGGGCAATGCAGCACGGGCTCTCCGCTAGCTCATCGATTCGACTCAGGATCGTCTCCAGCTTCTGCCTCGATCGTTTGGTTTGCCGAGGGGTCGGCCGCTGAACGAAGGGAAGCACCACCCATGGATGCATCACACAGCGGCAGCTTCGAGAGTACCAGAATGTGTCGTGGCAAGCTCCCCTTCAAAGCATGCCCGTTCATACATGTTCATACTTCATACCATGTCCGCCTACCAAGTCCTCTCACGGCGATTTTTTCAGTTGGGCAATGCGATGTCGACCGTCTCGGGGAGTCCCAGCCTCTGCTCTGGTTCAGTGCAAAGGGTTCTAAGACTTGGTGATGTGAAGGGACAAAAGGGGCCAATAGGCAGGACCTCTTCCACGGCCCCTCGAGCTTGTTGGACAAGACCTGGTATGATAGCCGTGGGTTGGAGGAGGCGGCGGAGGGATGCACGGTCGAATGGCTGAAATCATCTCAGAAACCAAAGGGTTGGTTGTATTCAGAAGGCCTGTGGCGTAAAGTTTGATGAACGAACTGGAAGTGAAAATCCTGCGAAGGCAGGAACGAAAGCCAGTAGTACCATCCAATCGTGGCGACTGACGCTTTGTCTTCCAAAACTCTCATATACTCTCACACTAGGCGATCTCTATCTCTCTTCCTGATGCTGAGCATTTCTTCTGGCGTCTTGTTCATGACTTCTGCATCACCAACTCACCAAAAGGGCTCCATCAAAAAGTAAAAAAAACACCGTTAAGTGTCCAGGCTCGAGTGCAGTTTGGCCCGCTCTGCCCACACACCTCCTCCCATAACTCAGTTCGTTCGCAGAAACTCGCCGCAGCCTACCGTGCCAGCTGGCTTTCGTATTGAGCCGCTGTTCTTAGCACAGCTTTTCTCCCCATATTGTACATACTGCGATACAAGCTACAAGCTCATCCTTAAGATCCTTAAGAATAATACAGTAAGACTATGGTCGCTTGGCAAAATGGCCACAGAAGCCGCTTGCATCTGGACCTTTCGTCCAAAAGATTATGTTACATTGGCCAAGTCACGCTGGCGTTTGGCAATAAACTGCCCAGTGAAGGTGTTGCTCCAAAGTGCTGAAAAGCCAAGAAGACTGGCAGCCCACCCAGCCCGATGCAGGCAGCACATCAGGGGCAGTGGCTTGTGTTTGCAATTTCGAAGCGGACCAACGCTAAAAGCTCTAGCTGAATGAGTTGTCCATTCAATGAAGCCTCTAGCACCGACTAGACCAAGTAGTGTGTGACTGACTGACAGGGTTTCAATTATTATATATACACTGTATACTATTGTATAATATAATATTATATATATGTATCTGTGTGTGAAATCTGGGGTTTGTCTTTGGCTCCCGAACATGTTGCGAAGTTATCGCTTTTGCCACCTGGCCTCTGCGCCAGGTATCACGGGGCATCCTATGGAATGCAGTCATGTTGTTGCGTTCTTCCACGAACTCGATCCGACTTGGCTGTGCCTCAAGGCGTTACCGGCCGTTGCCAGCAAAGATATGAAGATATGAAATATATTTAAGCCTGCCAAATGGATATGAAGCCAAATGGACACCAAATGGATATGAATGACACCATATATATGATATAGATATATACAGTATATATATTGTATGACTTAATGTATGACACCCAATGGATATGAAGCCTGCCGAACTTGACCGAACCAACGTGAGTTGCGTGATCGCCTTTTTGGCACGGCCGCTCAACTGACGCTAGCACAATCGAACCCCCCCAGCTTGGCTAGGAGATTCGCGAAAGCGACAGAGTGATTGGACAGGGTGGTGATTGGTGACTGTGAAAGAAAACCGTGTGTTCATGAGCCATCATGCGCCACTGTTTACACATGGAGTGTCCATCTTGGTGTCCAATCTCAATGTATTAGGTCCTTTCGCCGACTTCGGTTCTGGAACCCAAACAGCTGGGTGTCGTTTGACAGCCACGGCACGGGCACCTCAGAATCGTGCCCGTCCCGCTGCTAGGGGCAGAAGGCGGGTGAAACGTTGCACACTGCGTTCGCAGACAGCCTTTTCGGCAGCAACCCAATCATTGAGAAGGTACTAAAAACATATCGACTGTCACACTGAGGGCTGCAGCCTGGTCCTACAATCTCAAACGTTTCTTCAATAAGGGCGGCAGGGTCTGGAAGATCTGATTCTTCAGGACGGTCAGATCCTGAGCCCAGTTGGATCAAACATGTCTCACAGTTGGCTATGATGGATTCACGTGTTTCCACCTAGGTGGAGAATAGGGCCTCTCAACGCAAATGTTCCAGACACGGTGAAGTTCCCTGTTGGAAGTGCCCAACTGGAGGTTTTCTCGGTGTCCTTGACCGTGGCGGAGTTTGAGCCACGAAGGAGTAGGATCTCATCCAAGAAATCCTGACATGGCTTTCGACGTCCGTTAACACCGCAACTTTGCTAGAAGGCAGGTGCTACACTGTGCCACACTTGCATTATGTCACTTGCATTGTAGCTTGCTGGAGGTACTGATGACTTTTTGGCTTTAAGATGTTCACCGGCCACAAAAGGCTGTCAATCAACTGCTTCATTGTCACTCTCAGCGGCTTGCACGCAGCACCTGGAAAGCCATGTAGGGCTCACCATCAAAAATGATGTTTGGATCCTTCACCAGTGCGACGAGGTCAACGCCGACCTGGACCCCACACCAGGTGACCAGCGGCTGCGAGGCTAGTAAAGCAACTCAAAGTGGACTAGGACGCAAACATCCTGAAGGACATCGATAGCTTGGTCATTCTGCAGCAACTGGATGAATTCCTGAAGGCATGCCGATGAGGCCAAGCTGCCCCACATCAGGCTGCTTCCAACCACCAACATGCACACACACACACAATGTGGAGTGCGTCGGCACAAGGGGGCCGCCAAATCTGTGGTCCCAGTTGACCCAGTTGACCCAGTTGGACAGGGTGTCCAAGTTGACCCGGTTGACCCAGTTGACCCAGTTGACCTCAACTGGGTCAACGGGGTCCAGAGATTTAGCGTGGCCGCCTGGTCAAGTCGACCACTGCGACCACTACCACTGCTACTACTACGCGTCAACTGGGTCAATTGGGGTCAACTGGGTCCGCAGATTTAGCGTGCCCTCCTGGTCACCACGACTACTACTGCTACTGCTACGTGTCAACTGGGTCAAGTGGGTCCATTGGGTTAACTGGGTCAATTGGATCAACTGGGTCAACTGGGTGATCTGGATCAACTGGGGTCAACCGGGTCAACTGGGGTCAACTGGGGTCAACTGGGTCCACTGCTACTATTAGGTTGTTGTCTGAACTGGATCACGAAAGATCACCAATCAACCTCAACATGGGATTCCTGGTGTGGAGTGTGGTTTCTACGTGTTAGATCCTGCTTTCATAACTCATTGTTGTTGTTTACGCGTTTGTTTTCTACTGAGGTTCTGATGGAGGCAGTGTCTCAACTGGCTCAGGGAAAGTCTTCAACCAACCTCAGCACGGGACACCTGGCGTTGAGCTTGGTTTCCCATGGTTAGACTATGTATTTCTACGTGTCAATGTTGTTTATGCGACCATGGTCGACTCGATGGAAGAAAGAGTCCTAACCAAGCTCAGCACAAGATGTCTGGTGTTGATCTTGGTTTCTAGCTTTCGTTGAGTAGCTTTACACAGCCAAGTCGCTTGCTCACAGGTCGTCGATAGATCTAGAGCTATCTCTTGACTCGCAAGAAGAAACGGTCCCCAACTGTTGGCTTCTGAAGTGGATCAAGCTGGATCAACCGAGGTTGTGATGAAGACCGTTGTTGAACTTGAACAAGTAAGGTTCCGAATCACGCTCTACACGGAATGTCTGATGTTGATGTTGGTTTCCATTGATTAGATCATGTCACACGTCTTTATAGCTCCATGTAGCCACAGATGAGGATGGTTGGTGTTGATCTAAAGTACAGGTCACTTACTCAGGTTCCAGGATTCTATGGATGAGTTGACTTAGTTGTCTGTGGTTTGGTGGATGGCCTGGCGATCGAACACGCACCTGATCCCTGGTTTGGACCTGGAAAAGATCCACAAGTCGACCACGGGATCCTCACAGAAGCCGAACTCTGACTCTGACTCTGACCTGGAAAAGATTTTTTACAGAAGAAAAACACTTCCAAATCCACAGCAGTTCGCACGAAAGGGGATAGTTGGTGATTGAACCATCCCCTGTCTGAAAGGTCCAGATCATTGTTACAACTTGAAATTTAGCTCCACGCATGCCATTCGTTGGCCATTTTTTGACGGCCGTCTGCCCATGCAGTGGCTACGCCTGCTTCACGTGGGGTGCCCAATGCAAATACAAAACCGATGAACTTGATTTAAAAAAAAGGTTTTGTCCAAGCTCAACACGAGAACCCTGGTGTTGAGCTTAATTTTTACTGTTCAGACTGCCTTATTTTACACCTAGCACTAGTAGGGTTTCATCTTTGATCGAGCATGCTCAGTATAGAAGTCGTTGCCAGACCTTGAACCCAGTGGACCCAAGTTGACCCATAAGCAGTAGTGGTAGTGGTGATAGTAGTGGTGGTGGACCCAGTTGACCCAGTCGAACTGATGGTTAGTTGACCCGGTTGACCCGGGCCGCGCTATATCTCTGGACCCAGTTGACCCCAGTTGACCCAGTTGACCCCAGTTGACCCAGTTCACCCCAGCTGACCCAGTTCACCCCAGCTGACCCAGTTGACTTGAGTTGACCCAGTAGTAGAAGTAGTAGTAGTGGTGGTGGTAGTAGTAGTAGCAGTAGTAGTAGTAGTCGTGGCGGTGGACCCAGTTGACCCGGTGGCCACGCTAAATCTCCGGACCCAGTTGACCCGGTTGACCCAGTTGGCGTCAACTGGGTCAACTGGGTCCGAAGATTTAGCGTGGCCCCCTGTGCGGTCGCAATGTATATGTGTGTGTTTTTGCTTTGAAAATCTTTGAAACAATTCGCGGCCCAAAAACATGCTCTTGTTTCCGCACTCCTCCTGGCTGATGGTGTCATCGTCGGCACCCATGGCCTCTTTGGCATAGTGCAGTTCTTCTTTCAAGTTGCGCCTCGTTTTCATACAACAAGTCCAGCGCCATGCGCCCATGATGAGCACAAGTCTCAGCATCCGGCACCACACGACCCTCCTGCTCAGCCGTGGCCACCACGCGGACCACCTTGCTGCGCTGGGCGATTGGAGCACCAGAAACGGCAACGACGAAGGTTGGACTGGATGGCCTCAACCAATACGCCGAGAAGAAGGTTCATCACCTACAAGCCGGGGCCAAAACTGCCACGTGTCTTTGAGTCTCTGCGTGTGTGAGTGGTCAAGCCAAGAGACTGTGAGCGGTGCGATCAGCAAAAAGCCCGCCTTCATGACAAAACGAACACGAAACCCAGCCATGGAACTTAACACGTAGAAGGCTAGAGCTGAGGATGAAGCAAAGAGAAAGCTGACCACCAAATCGTCCTGGCCGCCCAGAACCTAAACCCCCTTACAAAGTCTTCATAAAAGAGGACACAAGGCCACCTGAAAGCACAGGCGCGCCATCTCAACCATGTTGTTGTTGAAGCAGCCATAAAACACCAAACTGAACATGGCCTCGGACGTCCAAGTTACGGATCATGTCAGGCTGGCTCTATGTCTATTCACGGCCTCTGCTGAGCTGCGGGCAGCTGGTAAAGTGTGAAAATATTCCTTACCGGCGTCTGTGTCCACAGCCACTTGCGTGAAAGCAATAGCAAAGACCTGGACGGCTCTTGCAGTTTGTGAACCTTTCGCGCTCAAAAGTCTTGAAACATGGCTTTCGGAACATGCGAAAGCGAGTTCCTTTATGTCTGGCAGTTCCGAGGCCAGAGCATAAACAATCATCAATCCCAACAGCACCTTGCTGTGGGGATGATCGTGAAACAATTGCAATTTGAGCATACTCCTGCAAATGATGCTAGAAGGCTGCATGCAAGAGAACAAGGGGCAAATTGCGTTCCCTGTTTCTTATGGCATCGTCTTGGTGGTGTGATGTTTCCTTCGTCTTCCACCTCCAAAGCTGGTAGCGCAACATGGAAACATTTGGAAACTAGGGAGGGGCAAGGAACATGTTGAACAACGCATGTCTGGCGCTTCTCTCCCGTTAAACTGGGTGAACAAGGCGAACCCTGGGGGTGGCTCTTCAGCCAGGCTTGGTGAGATTCTTCTTGTGTTTGAGTTTGGGTTAGTCAAAAGGGCGGCCCGGGTCAAGCACACACTCTCCATGATTGGCACTGGGCTCTCTGGGTCAAGCACTGTAAGAACAACTGACCGTGTAGCTGCACCAATTGCCCGGACCAGTATCATGACCTGGGTTACGCACGGAGAATCTGGCAGCCTATCTGCCTGGGTGGCACGGCTTGCATGTGTCTTCACATGTGTCTGAGCCACAAACTTCTGGCAGAAAGCCTCGGAAAGAGCCAAATTGTGCAAAAAAAACAGGAGAAAAACAAAGACAAAAGAAAACCCATTTGAGCAACTTGGGGATGATTTCCTGGGACCGCACCGCTTGGCACATTGTCCAAAAGCACCAGCCACATCGTTTGCGAAGGCGGTTTGTAGATTTCGACTTCGATCATAGGAAGTTATACTAGTATGAAAGTCTTAGAAAAGCAGAGTCAGAGGATTACCGTTCCTCTGTCCACCCGAAAGTCTCGTTTCCAGCTGCAACATGCCATTGCACACACCAAGCAACGCAAGAGCCGAGCAATCCGTGCCACACGCGTGAGCCGGAGGAGGCGCATCATCCTGGAGGCAAAGGTTCCGGTTCCAAATGATGTTAAGGATGTGGATTCTCCATTTCGTGCATTAGCCTTTCAGAAAACCAGGCACTCCAATCAAATCTCAGATCGGTCCCTTCGGAGCCATGCCTCGCCTAAGAACTGAGGTGTTGATCAGGAGAAATTCCTCCCCTGTCAGCATTACAACCTCAGAAAACACACATACCAATGCCTTTCACTGATATTTTCCGGAATGTCGCTGAGCGGAGCCGGCCAAAGCAATGACCCACGTCTCCAGCACCATGAAAAAGGCAAGGAGGAAGTCAAAGACAAACCAGAAGTCCTGGAGCTTTCCCAACAAACCTTTCTTTGGACTGACGCGACCAACTTTGCCGTGTCCTTGAATGCCTGAATCTTTGACTTGAAGGCTAGAAAGCGGATGATGATCTGTCAGCTCCAGCAACTCTTGGTTGTCTGTACCGTCTGACATTTGACATCGGACGAGGCCGACAATCGCATGAGGGTTAATTCACTCCTTTTTCCTTAACGATTTGGCATGCTGATGTTGCCAGGAACCCCTCTGTCAGTATTGGGAACGCATTAGCCGCATCACGCAAAACACCAAAAAAGTGTGAAAACTTGCCTGCACATATGTCTATACATATATATGTATATATATATATAGAGTGCTCATGCAGCTCTCTCTGCCCTCATTTTCCAAAAGCTGTGCTTTGAAGAAAGTGGATTCAAAAGGTCAACACTGATGACCTGGAAATTGACGTCACCCAAGGTGCAACTTCATGGTCCAGACCCACAGCCCTCACCACTGTGGCCCAGAGCGCGAAGCCGCACCACAGGCAAACAGGTGAGACGCTGCAGAATAAAGGAAGGCCTTTGGGTGTTCCCCCCCAGGGTCCATACCCACAAGAAGAAATCGAAACACCCGACACCGGTGTCCGCCCTGCCCAAAATTCAGCCGGGGCTGGAGGCAAAGGTAGCCTGCTCAAGACGTTTGGTCGCTGGACAGAGTGACAAGGCCAGACGCTTCGCGACGAACAAGGGGGGGTTCACAGAGGGGGGGGATCGAGACGGGAAACGCTTCCGTCGCTGGAAAAAGGCGGGCAACGCTTCCGCCCTGACAAACAAAACCGGAGACCGTAGGTAAGACGGGAAACGCTTCCGTCAACCTCAAAAGGGCCAGCGCCTTTTTAAGACACAGTGACATTAAGTGTCAAAGGACCAGGATGGCCGGGCTGTGCGGGCCAACCGGAGTAGGCGCGTGCGAACTGCGGCAGTCAGAGACAACTCTGTGAGCTGCGCGAAAGCATCAGCTAGATAAATTCGAGCGGTTTTAGGACAATTCCATCGTCCAACAACGCAGAGCGCCGGCAAATTATTGCTCAAACGAAAAGCGTGAGTAGCCCCACCGCGCCGAAGCGAGTACCACTGAAAACCCTCAGGCAGCTGAAGGTCAACAAAAAGCTGCTTAAGCCGATGGCGCATAGCACCGGGGCTGACAGCCCGCAACACATCGCCAGGCGCATGAAAGCGCATGAAATTGTACAAGGCATGACGAGCCAAACATCGTCAACAACAAGGGACTCCTGGGCTCCATGCCTTTGCCCACTTTTCGTGAGAGGCAAGGTCCAAACAACACGGCGAAGGGAGGTATCAAAATGAAAATCCCCTCTCTTGGCATTGAAAAGTTCACCGGTGCGTGCAAAGCGGTCGAATCCTAACAGGAGGAGGACAGCCATGTCACTCCATCCATGGTCATAGGCCCGTTGGGCCAGGGCGTAAACTATCATGAGAGTAAAGGGCAGGGCCCGAGCCGGCAACTCAGCCCGGCTCCAACTTCCATGAAGTCTCCACGCCTCAGCCAAATACCGTTTACATTGGGGAATATAGTGCCCAAGACCACTCAAACAATCTGAAGCTAAAGCTTTGCTGTCTCCGTTTCGCCACAAATATTCGATATATTCGCACACGCGTCCGTCCAAGGACAAGAAAGTAGTAGGATAGGGGTGTACGTGCAAGACAAGGAAATCCAAAAAGAGTGAAACTGCTTGAAAGTAACGCTCTTGTGTTCGAGGGGCGACAACCAAACTCTGCAGTGATCCCAGCTCTTTACGTTCTTTTTTTCCGCTCCTGCGGCGTTCGCCGCGCAAGCGCCTGCTTAGGCGCCACGCTGCCGTCGTTTTGCGGCCCACCGTGATGGGCCGGTTCCATTTGGATTTGACCCAGCCCGGGTGAAGGACGACACCCCCCGCGACAAGGATTGCTCCAATCCGGCGCAAGGGGTTCTGGAGCGCACGAGCTGAGGATCGGCCTTTCGCCAAGGCGCTGAGTGCAGTTTGGTTGTCAATCAGGATCACATAGCGTTTGTGGTGGTTCTTTGGCTCACGACACAACTTGCGAAGGACATCAAGCACCGCTGCCGTCTCCAGGACATTGATGTGTTGTCCCGGCTCCTTCCATTGGTAGGACAGCAGCACTTTCCAAGTCCAGTGTGTTGGATCAATACTTTGTCGGCGCGCAGCTCCCACAGCCATAGGCGCGCCATCTTGAATGCGAATTTCTCCTCCCCGGTGGGTGGCTGCTCGTGTCAACAAGTAGGTAAGGACTTGCTCATCCGTCAACCATCGTCGTGGATCGATCAGCCGCACGGTATCCAACACCACTGCATGGCCCGGCCACAAGCTCGCGCAAGGACCGAACCATGGTAGCGGAACCCGCACGGGAGCCGAATCTCACCTTCCAAGACTGCTCATCATGCTGAGCCCTTTCCTCCATCTCATGCCAGCACTGCCAAAGCATGCTGGTCACGTCGCGTTCCTTGACCTCTTCTTCGCTTACCACCAGACCAACCAGCAGGCGAGCGACTGCCACTGTGCTGAAAAGCTATTTCCGAGGAGTTGCCCTTTCACGTCATTGGAGAGCTTGTTCTTGGCCTCCAGATAGTTGGGCGGGAATCCCATCATCCGCAACTGCTCGGTCAGATTCAAGCATCTTGGTCCGTGCTTTGCAAAGACAAGGTTGCGATCCTCATATTGATAAGGCTGAACTCGGTAGGCATCCCCCTTCCAACGCGCACGGGCTTTTTCACTGGCCTGCTCATAGCCTGGGCGGCGTCTTCCGCGCAATCGGCCTGGTGAATGTTGCAAATGGCTCATCCTCGGCTTCCATCTTCTGAGCGTCATGCTCAAGGAACCATGCAAGAGGGGGCCGCTCTGCGTCGATGCTTACTTTTGTCACCGTGTAGCTGCATCCACGAGGTGTGTGTGCCTGGCTGAGCGTCACGTCAGCTCCCAATCTCAATGGTAGATTTCTCCTCCAGTAGGGTCTCGGCCTTCGGCACCGTCCCAACTCGCCTGCCTCGAGTAGTACCGCTGGGAAACCAATCTTGCCCGTCTGAATCTCATAGTCTGAGTGGTCCATCACGACGTTCTCACAGAACTCGCACACCGTCCAAGGTCGGAGACCATCAACTTCACTTACCTCCTGCAAGCCATCTCGCAATCGAATCAGTTCATCTAGCAAACGACTGCTCTCAGCCTGTGCTCCACCTCGATGAACGTTGAGCTGCGAGTGATTGATGCATGGCGACCCCTGCACCTTGCGAATATCATCATACCAAATGGCATGACGGACATGCTGTCAAGATGCGTCCACACTGGGCATCAATGCCAACAACGCCCATGGGGTGAAAACCAAGAAGCCTCACGGCTTGTGAGAAGCCTCCTATCCCAGCAAATGCTTCGATCACCACTGTGGCATCTGCTCCATCTCCTTCTATGGCCTGCAGCTCATAGGCCAGGGTATTGATTCTCGCTCTCCCCCATTTTGTGATACCTGTCGTGATGCACGCTCCTGCTCCGTCCTCTGAAGCATCTGTCGCCAACACCTGCCCAGAAATCTCGCACCGCTGGTCAATCCAGTGAGTCGGCAGAGAACACGTCAGCATAATCAACTCGTCGATTGAAGCCTCACTGACCCATTTCTGCTCTTCCCTGTTGTACTCCTGATAGATGGTGTCAAACAGGCTTGCCAATGGCCTTTGATATTGCACTGAGTGCATATTCTTTGAGACAACTGCTTCATAGTCTCGGCTGTTAAGGAGCACTCCCTTCTCGAGGATTGTGTCCAAGTTTGCAGCTAGCAATCCTCTCCTGAATTTCCCAGCGCTGCCAACCCAGCCTAGTTCGCCGTCCACCTCTGCTCCTAGGCTATTCCAAGTGACACTCGCTTCGCTCGCTTTTCGAGGGTCACGTGTGATTCCGCGCTGATCCATCTCCTGTCGGAGCTTCAATTGTGAGTCACTGGGTCTGCCCTCATACTTTCCCCGGTCCGTCTTCCAAACCACTAGGAGCTCATCAAAGTTGTCCACATAGAACGAGTAATAGCTTCGAGGACTCGTGAGTGGCTGCAACGGTGAAGGTTGGTTCATGCGGATCACTTGGCTCGGTTCGAGTCCTGCTGCTTTTGCCACTGCTTCAAAACCACTCTGAATGAAATCCACGATATTGCTCCATCCCATGGGAGCTGATCGGACTCTTGGGTAAGCTGCCAGTTTCCTTGCATCTTTGAAGCACCACCCGGCAGCCTTACGACTGAGAACAAAGTATCCGCGCCACTTTGATCCTGGTCGGTACAGGTGAAAGCATTGCTTCTGGTCCTCAGCGCAGCACAACACCACTTCTGAGTCATGCACATAAAGCTGTCCCCACAACGGGGCATACCCCATCTGCTCAGAGGTTCGACAGGGTACTCGCCTCTGAAAAGAGTTGGAAGGAATCAAGTTGACTATCAATCGCAGGGTTCGAAGCCAGGTTCCATCATCTCTCATGACCCAGCCCTTGTGAACTCCAAAAATTCCATTTCGGACTGGTTCCCCTTTGTAGGTCAGGGTCTCACCTTCCACCTCACGTTCAAGCATGCCGGCGTCGACCAAGTGGGAGACAATACGCTCCCACTCGTCTTGCCCAGCAACCTGAACAGAGGCAAACATCCTCGGATCCACAAGCTCT